TAGTTTAGAAATTCCTTAATTTCTTCTAAAACGAAATTTAATATACAACAGCTTGGATGTATTAAGGGATTGTTTGAAACTCAGTTTCTCTATGTTTCCATGACAGCTTAATCTAACTATCCTATTAAAACGCTTAAAATAATTATGCAGAATAATAATAGAAGGGAACCTGGAGACAACACAATAAAATGAAAATTTAGGGTAATCAAGGAAATACAACTTTTGGATGTATGCAAAAAGCTTACTATGTTGCTAGAATAAATATAGGGTGTTATTTTCTTTTCAAAACATTAATAATATACCTACGAGAGTAGGGTTTCGAGATTACCAGTCGTACGACTACATCTCATTACATTAATAATATAATATATGAAGACCAAGATGTTGTGGCCTCTGGTACGAGGTAAACCCACTTCTATTAAGAATATATTTTTCGTATTTGAGTAGAGTTTCGAGACTACCAGTAAATCAGTTATATGAGATGTATTCACCCTATTTTGTTTAAGGTGATGAAGAACTGGTAGTAGAATTTTCCCACAATGATGAGTAGAGCTGACGTTTCCATTAAATTTCACATAACCTTGCTTAACCCTCAAACGAAATAGAGTGAATACATCTCATATTAATAATATAACTGAAACTAGTGTATTTCGCTGAAATATAACTAAATATTAGATAAGGTTAAGTTTTTTTTAATGTGTTGAGAAAGAAGTCATGATTAAATAGATGCGGAAAATATTCCAGTCTGAAGGCAAAGCTTATTAACTGTACTAAAAGTTTTTATACCTTCTTCTGAGAATGTACCAACAGACAGAAAGAAAATAAATTTGACTTAATCTTATGGCGATAGATAGTCAATATGTAAAAAAGTTTAAAAAAGGAGGCCTTTTAATGCCTTCGTAATGGAAAGTAAAAACATAATTTTCAATGCTCTTTAACTTTAAATAAACTGTAGGATGATAAAAAGTTGAGCTAAATTCATAAATAGAATTAATCCAGAATA